GGTATATGAAAGATACCGATGATTGAGATGTTAATAAATGTGTAGCACTGATTTTGGAATGAAATTTGGGAAAAGGGAAGTTCGATTGATCGTTTTGCTCAGATTGCCTATAATATGCTCTGATTTTGATTTTGATTTTGTGTTGATTATGACATTGCGTCATTAAGCGTAAAACTTGGTTGAATGCAATCTTTAATAATCCGTAATCTGCTCAATTATTTGAGTAAGATATGTATTTAATGCTTTAAATTACCGATGTTCATGGATACGTAATTGACATTGTTGGTTTAAAGCCCAAATAACTACAATTGATGCAAAAGGTTTTAAAAGCCCACGTAAGTAACATATTAATTAGAGAAAAATCACACAGGTATGGTTTTTGCGGAGGATCGAACCCAAGTCTGGGAGACCCGATTTTAGACGGGTATACGCGCGGGTTACACAACAAATTGGGTCTTAATTTCGATTTCAATTGTCAATATTACATAAATTACCCCTATCAATTTTAATAAAATGTCTCATTTCTTAAAAATTGAAAGGTAATTTGGGAAATTTTTGACATAATTATACCATGATTAAATTTGTACTTCTCTTTTAATAGTAGTAAGATGGAGATTCCGCAGCCATGACATTGGCCATGGCCCATGCACACGATTATAACTTTTCTTCCCGGTTATATACTCTCATCACATAACCACAAATAGGTGTATATAGGAAACTAGCTTCACACTCGTTGTGTCTGACCCATACTTTGAACTAGGGAGATTCAAATCGGACGTAAATTCATTTAGTTTAGAACTTTCAGTTTTCGGAATTTCAACATTTATCTTAAAAGTACGTACCAAGTAGTTCTTCTTGGACCGGTACTGGAATCCAAAAGAGTGGTATCTCTGAGTTTGAATCTAATTTGGGAGGGATTTAATCGCGACGAAGAAACATACATACCTAAGACCTAAAAAATTTCTGAACGATAGTAAAAAATTACATTGATCTTAGTATGGACTAATTTGGATACACATATATCTCATAAAAGGTGATAATATATCTCATATCTTCTTTATATGAAATAATATTTGTTTTCTAGTCAAATATTACATTCATAGTTTCATATTCTCATAATCGAAATAAGTCAGGACGAACTTGAGAAAAAGGAAGAAGACACTATTTTAGGAGTATAGGTGAAGAATGTGGAGGACACGAGTTGTTGTTTTTTTGTTTTTGTGTGTTTAGCGGGTGACGACATCTTCTTAGAAATACCTTTTATATACTTTATATTTTTACAGTGGACAGTAAAAAAAACGAAATTGAGATATAGTTTCCTAAAATTGTCAAAAACTTTAAGTGTTTTATACCATTATATAAACAGACATTTTCTATTTTCTTGTTCCTATACATATAGCACTAAATAACACCTCTTCATCTTATATATCGTTGAAAAAAAAAAAAATGAGAGCCTTCTTTTGTGTTCGCAAGAAGAGCCTTTAATTGAGAAAGGAAAAAAGAGAAGCCTCCAGGTCTGACCCATTTTTTACCTATAAAAGGATTGTTAAGAGTTCAAGACCTTACTCATCTTCTCCCCAACCATATAGTTTTATATTTCTTTCTAAAAACAACAATGAAGTTCTTCTCTTCATCATCTTCTACTACTTGGACAATCTTAGTCACATTGGGATGCCTTATGCTTCGTGCGTCTTTGTCTGATGCTCAACTTACTCCTACCTTTTACGACACGTCATGTCCTAGCGTTACCAGGATCGTAAGAGATACCATTGTCAACGAGCTAAGATCGGACCCTCGTATCGCCGGGAGCATCCTTCGTCTTCACTTCCACGACTGCTTTGTTAACGTAAGATTTCACTTTTCATATATTTGTAGTGTTTTCACTTGACATACTCTGTTTCTCATGCTCTGTCTTTTTGGCCTACACTTCATACATATATTTTCTGTTGTAATTTTTTCATTTGTTGATCAATAAATATATTTTCGGTTTTTTGTTAGGAATCAATAAATTTAAATTTATTAACAAATTTTTATAACAAATTAATACTCTTATTTTCTTTAAATTTAATCTCACTATAGGTTGCATTGCTTTTATGTTTAGGAATTTCTATATTTTCAACGTAAATTTATTTAAGTCTCTGTATATATCACTAATTACTTGTTTCAGAGGAACAAATGGTAGTAGTGGATTAAAAGAAGTTCAATGTTAAAAATTGTTACCTTTGGTAAAGATTTTGTAACTGTGGATGTTATACATTGACTAATAATTTCTTTTTATTTGGGCAAAAGACTAATAATTTCTTAAATAACGTTTTGGACTTTTAAAAGGGTTGTGATGCATCGATCTTGTTGGACAACACAACAGCATTCCAAACAGAGAAAGATGCGCTTGGAAACGCAAATTCGGCTAGGGGTTTCCCCGTGATTGATAGAATGAAAGCCGCAATAGAGAGGGCTTGCCCGAGAACCGTTTCATGCGCAGACATGCTCACCATTGCAGCTCAACAATCTGTCACTTTGGTACATATGCTTCACTTATCATCCTTTTATTCATTACTGTCTACAATAATGATCTGTTTATAATCATGATACTATTTATGCCCGACAACGTACCCGAGTTAAAAAATTTAAAAACTTTTGTTGTTGTTTGAGAAGGTCGCACTCAATATTTACTATCAACCTTTCAACCATATGACCAAGAATTCAAATTTATTAGGTTTGCTATTATTGAAACCAACCGTAAATAAATTTTTATAGGTTTACTATTATTGAAAAATAATATCATTGGTAAAAATACGTTTCAAGTTAACCAAAAAGATTTTTTTTTTTTTCAAGAAAATATTGGAAACTAAAAAGAAAACAAAAATCCTTCGTTTGATTATTTCATCTATGAATATAATTATATAAAATGATTTTCTAATTACGAATTGAAATTTCTGAATGATATTATAATAGGCAGGAGGTCCTTCTTGGAGAGTTCCATTGGGGAGAAGAGACAGCTTACAAGCATTTTTGCAACTCGCTAATGCAAATCTTCCAGCTCCATTCTTCACACTTCCACAACTTAAGGCCAACTTTAAAAATGTTGGCCTCGATCGTCCTTCTGATCTTGTTGCTCTCTCCGGTAATAAACAACACAAAAACTAAACACCATTCGACATACATTAGTTGTAATAAACGAGTTAAATGTTGATCTAACTATGATCTTTCTTTTTGTCAGGGGGTCATACATTTGGTAAAAATCAATGTCGATTTATTATGGACAGATTATACAACTTCAGCGCGACCGGGTTACCTGACCCTACCCTTAACACTACTTACCTACAAACTCTTCGTGGACAATGTCCGCGTAATGGCAATCAAAGCGTCTTGGTGGATTTCGATCTGCGTACGCCTTTGGTTTTCGACAACAAATACTACGTGAATCTGAAAGAGCAAAAAGGGCTTCTCCAGAGTGACCAAGAGTTGTTCTCTAGCCCCAATGCCACAGACACAATCCCCTTGGTGAGATCTTTTGCTGATGGAACACAAAAGTTCTTTGATGCGTTCGTGGTGGCAATGAACAGGATGGGAAACATTACACCTCTTACTGGAACTCAAGGACAAATCAGGTTGAATTGTAGGGTGGTTAACTCCAACTCTCTACTCCATGATGTGGTGGAGATCGTTGACTTTGTTAGCTCTATGTGAGAATAGTTGACTCCATATCTGGCTACCAGACTATGTTAAGATTAATAAGCGCTCTCAAGTTGTTACTTGAGCAGGAGAAGATCTTTATCGGTATGTAAAGTATCTACGTAATTCTGTCTTTTTATTCCTAATGTTTGATATTGGCCTTTGAAAATGTTACGTGAATCGTTCTATAAGTTTTTTATAGTTTTGAACTCGTTTCTATACTAATAAAGATGACATAATAAAGATATATATGTTAGTTGAGAATTTTTTTTTACATTTTCTAGATTTTCCTTGTGAACTCCTAGTGATATATAAAAAAGAAGAATGTGTGAGCTCCTAAAAATAAAAGATGAAAAATCAAATTTGTAACGATATGCAACCCACAGTCATGCATTAGGCCGTATCTAATCGAATTGAACAAATTTACGTCAATTCATTAATTAAAATAAACAAAATAAAAGTTAAAAGGAATAATTTAAAATGGTAAATGCAAAGACAAGACACATAAATAAATTTTCTTTTGATAAGTCTTTTCCGATTTTTAATATAATTTGATTTTTTATTTTTTTCACAGTTTGTTAATGTACTACAATTATTCAAGTCTATATATATATATCTTTCTTTACTCTGCATTTTAATTTACGCATTTTCAACTTACCACTATTCCACTTAAATAACGCATAGTTCCACAAGTCTTTGGGAGATGCTTTAATATCATCATCGTCGGCGGGTATTGTATTATCAAATAGCATTTTACGGTCGATATTTTCTATACCGTACACTGAAGAAAGCTTTTAAATAATAATTTTTTCGTGGTTTGCTTGCAACAAAAATACTATATTATAATTCAATTTTTCATCAAATTGACTTAATTAATTTTCAACTATAGATAAAATGATCATTAAAAGTGAAAAAGAACAAAAATTAAAATGGCAAAAAAAATATTTTTACAAAAAAATATTATGAAAAGGGCATTAGAAAAAAATTCTCTACATTTTTAATACTTCATATATCATAATAGACATAAGAAATATATATTGAATACGAAAAATACTACAAAAGAAGAAAAAAATAAATTAGTGGACAATTTACATTTTTGCTCTAAACCTCCGAAGTCCGAACTATAGCCGCCTGGTAATAGTAACAAATATTATTAAATATGGAAAATACCAAAAAAGAAGAAAAAAAATCAATTTGTGGTCCTAACTATATAGCCTCCTGGTAATAGTAACAGGGGAAAATTCAATTTAGTAACATATCTGGTGTTACTATATATACATATACATTATTGCAAGTGCAACCACAGATATAGCAAGCTCTAAGAAGAAGAAAAAAAAAAAAAAAAACTTAAAGCATGGAGCTGAAAAATCATGTATCCGTGGCCAGGAGTGAGGAGGTTAAACGGCCTTTAGCGGATTTTCCCGTTAATATATGGGAAGATCCTTTGACAACTTTCTCGGTTCTCGATCTGGTCCGTACGTACCTATATTTGCAATTTGCAAACTAGCTTGTTCATAAAACATAATAATATCCCTCATGATGTTTTTAATACGTACAGGATAGTGAGAAAAACAAGGAGAAGCTGCTTTCACTCAAGGAAAAAGTGATGGAATCGTTCATGGCTTCAAGACAAAATCCTATTGAGAACATCAAACTCATTGATGCTCTTTGTCGCCTCGGTATCTCCTATCACTTTGAACGTGAAATCTTCATGCAGCTGGAGACGATATTTGGCTCTCATGATTTCATGCAGATGATAATAGACAACGAGTCCAGTTTATACACTGTTGGTCTTGTCTTTCAAATTTTTAGGCAGTTCGGCTATAAATTCACTACCGGTAAGTCGGTAACTAAACTACTCAAAACAATATATCATCTAATTTAAATTTTTAAATATTGCTTTAAGTATAGAATTTTGAATTATTTGATTGATATATACCGGAACAACATTCATGAATTTTTTTTCTTTGGTAGTTACAACATGCATGAACTCTAGTGATTTGAAATACTCAATAACACTTATCCTATGGGACATGCATTTTTCACATCCAAAATTCTATTAAATAAGCTGAACTTTTTTTCTAAAAGAAATGTGTAGTTTTTCATGGGTGTGTTTGTGGTGGCAGTAATATTATGAGATTCATGCTCCCTCAGTTTCATAATAGTATGTCTAATTCTACCCTCAGTTTTACGTACACAACTACGAAAACATGTTAAGATTTATCTTTCTTTTATGGACTTGAGGTTAAATTATTGTTTTTACCAAATTATACATTGCAAATTAAAAATGACACTTATAATATTTAACTATACTAGCTAGCTAATTAATAATCCTAAAATTACACTTCTGCCAAACCGATGGTCGATGGAGTATATAAGATTAATGTCTTATTATGTTTCTTGATAAGCTACGTATTGATTTACTTAACTTTCATATATATGTGCATTATATGATCTGAAGATGTGTTTGAAAAGTTCAAGAACAAGGATGGTAAGTTTGAGGATTGTCTAGCCGAGGATGCAAAAGGTGTGTTATGCCTTTATGAAGCTGCCCATTGGAGCACCCATGGCGAAGATATGCTTGACGAAGCTCTCACTTTCTCTAGGTCTATTTTGGAAGAAATTGCTTCTCGATCTAGTGATCCTCATCATCTCACAGTTCGCATCAAGAATGCCCTCAAGCATGCATATCCTAGGGGTATCTCAAGGATAGAGACAAGACAATATATCTCATACTATGAAAAAGAAGATTCCCACGATCAAACTTTGCTTGAATTTGCTAAGGTAGATTTTAATCTACTTCAAGTGTTATACCGCGAAGAGCTTGGCCAAGTCTTTAGGTACCATATCGAAATACATATCAATCTACGATACTTTCCTTCATGGGGAAAAAAAAAATGAAATAGTGGTTTAATTTTGATATGTTCTAGGTGGTACAATAATCTAAACCTCGAATCAAAATTGCCGTATGCAAGGAATAGGACGGTTGAAAGCTACTTGTGGGCAGTTGGAGCACACTTTGAACCATGTTATTCGCAAGCAAGGATTATATTTGCCAAACTAATAATTGTTTTGACACTAGTTGATGATACATATGATGCTTATGGCACGATTCAAGAGCTTGAACCATTTACAGATGCGTTGTTACGGTGGAACCCTAGTGGTATTGAAGGTCTCCCAGAGAGCATGAAATACATTCACCGTGTTGTGTTAGAGTTCTTTGACAAACTCGAGAAGGACATGGAGAAGGAAGGAAGGCCAGGATATGGCCTCTATGCAAAACAATCGGTATAACACTTAAAAATAGTTATATACAAAATTATATGCTGTAGTAAGTAAGCATATGTTCATGTATGTTAAGTCTAAAGATATCTCGGTGTTAATGACCAGATGCAAGTAACGGCTAAGTCCTATATTCAAGAGGCAAAATGGTTGAATCAAGACTACGTGGCCACATTTGACGAGTACAAAGAAAATGGAGTTTACTCGGCGAGTTTTTTGGCATTGTCAACAGTATCCTTTCTAGGAAAAGTGGATGAAGTCACACTTGATGTGCTTGAATGGTTAAACACTTTCCCACCACTTCTAGTGTCTTCGTCGTTGATAGGCCGCTTTTGTAATGACATTGCAAGCTGCGAGGTACGTAAATGTTATCTTGCTCGAACCGAGATTGAAACCTAATCATGCCTACAAAATATAATAATGAATAATCAATCTTGTTATCTAACTAATGCAGTTTGAGCATAAAAGAAAGCATATAGTGACATCCATTGATTGTTATATGAAACAATATGGTGTTTCATGGGAGAAAGCCACAGAAGAAATCAAAGTCATGGCATCTGACTCATGGAAGACTCTTAACCAAGAACTGATGATGAAGCCTCACCAGTTTCCTTTCTCTGTCGTCATGCGATTTCTAAACCTCTCGAGGGTCATGGAGGTTTTCTACAAGAAGACTGACATATTCACGCAACCTGAGTTGATGAAAGATTATGTGGTTTCTTTGTTCCTCAACAAAATACCCATATGATCAGAAGTACTATACGACATCTACAAGTGTTCTTTTTTTTTTACTTTCTCGGTTTTATGTTGTGGAAATAAGTGGTTCTCCTGGGTCACATCACTTTGTGTTTGTGTAAATCAAATCCTCTCAATAAGTGGATAATAAATTTATGTTGTATCTTTATGTTCTCAGTATGTTTTATGAATGATAATAAATGGATTCAAGAGAAAATACATTATTTTTAAAAATCAAGTGAACGTTACATATATTTATAGAGAAGAAAATGTAACCGGCGGCACCCTTTTAACCTATGAAACCATTTTGTCTTATATTAAGCTGAAATTCAAATTTTTATTAATTAGAAATTAAAACTGACAAGTACGTTACTTGACTCATGTATTCCCAAGTTTTAATCACCTTTCAGAAAATGTTTTAAACACAGGCTTTTTCTTCAGTGGATCATGTAGTATTCTGCTGAGGATTTTGTTTATGTAATCCTTATAACTAAAGATGGGTTTAAGAAGGATAAAAGAAATACAACTTTTAAGTATGGTCGGAATGTTGGGTTAGAAGCTTTTTTGTATGTCAGTTATTAAATATATTTTTCAAAGGAAAAAATGATAGTTTAGGCTTCCTTTGAGGTTGACTGTTGACGTGAAAAAAATTTAAATGCTTCAGACATACAAGACGTACGTAAAGTACGTAACAATTATATTTTATGTATTCACCAGAAAAAAAAACCTATTTCTAACATAACCTATTTGGTAATGTTCAAAAAATTGTCAAATGTTTATCTTATATTTTTTTTTCTTTTTTTTGGTCAATTATTTTAGTTGTATTATATAGGGATGGCACATATGTTATCCGGTATCCCTCCAAGAGATATGAAGGGATATATAATCTGAGTATCGAGTATACTTTGGGTTCTTTAAGGACAACGATATTTAGTAATAGGCAAACAACAAAAGCTTTTAACCTTATATTTTTACCGTATTTGAGTGTTATCTTTCTTCTTCTTCAGTCCATCTTAATTTTAGGGATAACATATACAAAATCCTTAGCATAGTACTTAAATTCATTTGGAGAAAAAAATGTCTTTGAAACTTTTGTTGAAGAGTGATTCAAACTTGAGAATAAATGAGTCAAGTAACGTATTCGTCAGTTTTAATTTTCAGTTAACTAAGATTTTAGAAGAAGAGCATAAATCCGTCGCGATTATTTTATTTTCTTCTAAATACATATTGACATGTGATTAGTGAGTATGACTTGGGCTCTGACAATATTAGTATAGCTTTAAACCGCGGTAAAAGAAAAATATTACTAGAACATTAAATTTTTTAGGCTGCAATATAAAATACACATGTGTTGTATAATTGCAGTTTTAGATTTCACTAAAAAAGCGTTAGTATAGTTTTCATTGTTTGATGTACATGTGTATTCATATTTGACGTCAGGTTAGATTTCAATATTTGGGTAGTGCAGAATCTGGAACAGGAGTGTGGTCTGTATATTCTTTTTGGGTGCTCTCGAATATTTCTTCTTATATTTTTCTTAAATTTTATATCAAGTTGGTTGGTGTGTTTTTTAAGACTTTTCTTTTCATTGAAATATAAGCCTAGTTGTGTGTAAAGATTAGTAGCTTTCCTTTGGTCACATACATTCATCAGACGTGTTTCCGTCTTTTTCTTCTTTTTTTTATTTATTTATTCCAATGTGCAAGTGGTTCACTAGCTAACTCTTTTCGATTTTTACGTTGTATGAAACTAATTGGCTGCCTTTGGTCACATGATACATAGAGTTTTTGTGATCCAGTTTCAAATCCATTTAATCTATGTTTGTGCCTAATATACAATTTACGATACTTTTAAAATAGTACCTTTACGTATCAATCAAAGGTAACGCAATCAAAATTCTTTATAACTCCATTTGTGTTTGGATTTAGCATTTGCATTTTTTTTTCTTATTTTGACAAGCTACTAAGATTTTGTGACTTTACTTGATGACGATAATGCATTATTTGGGTGGTGAAAATGGGTGATGCAAACGACTACTCGAAGGATAAAGTCTAGTTTTGTTGGATCTTTGGGTAAAGTCGTTTGAAGATGTTGACAAGACCTCTATATATTGAGGGCTACGTGTTGTTGGCTTGTTGTTATAGGTAACTCTCCTCTTAGGATAACTCACGTGTCCTTTCTGATCTTGTTCTTTTCCTTACATATTTTCATTCCAAAAAACAAATTAACATTCAGAGATCTTTAAGAGATTTTTTCAAAATCCATTGGGACCAAATGGAGACATTTTCATGTGGCTTGATCTCGTTTGATATTTTTATTTTTTCCGGTTTTATTTTCAACGACAATTATTGCCTCAGCCTTGCCAGCAGAAAACGACACCGTTGATCATATGCAATCAAGTTACTAATTTGTCTTTGTAGCAAACTATCATTGTTGTTAAGCTATAGAGAATATTTCAGTTTTCCGATTCTCACTAAAACAAAATCTATGTCTTGATTTGATAAAATATAGTTTGATTTAACTCTGTTAACATTTTTCACCAAAGCAAAAAATCTATCTTATATAGTATAGATTGATGTGAACTCTGTCCTCTCTTTAGATTTGATTTATGAAGTTAATTAGCTCATGCATAATATGGATATGACTAGCAATGTAGCATTATGATAAATTGATAAGAGATATCAATAAATATATCAGCACCAATAATTCTAAAGAGATGATAAACCTCCGCTTTAAATTCATTATCTCATTACTATAGAAAGAGATCATGAGGAACTTGAGTAAAAGAAGATAGCACCGTTTAGGAGTGTAGGTGAAGAACGTGGCGGACACACGAGGATGGATGATCTTATTTTCAAAATATAGAAAAAAAAGAATTAGGAAGGAAAAAAAATACAAAACAGCTATTGCCGATGTTGATTTTTTTGTTTTGTCTTTTAGGAGGGGGTGACGACTGACGACGACCAAGAGATCTATGTAAGGTCGTTGAAGAGTTTATTGTATTTTCTTAATAAGACTGTATAATGCAAGAAGTTTTCTTGAGATATTATATCTGTTTTGGATTTTACGCTAATCATAATATGTTTCTATTTTATGAAATTTATCCTAAGATGTACTAAAATTTTTGTAAGATATTCTAACTTTTTTTAGTACTGAGAATTTGGTTATAGTTTTACTGTAACATGAAGGTTCCATAAGAATTAATAAGCAACACTTATGGTTTTCAGTTTAATTTTTTTAATTTGTTATATAACTGTAGAAGAAGAAGAATTGTAGATAGGTCGCAGGATTTTCGAGTCTACGAAATAATATTCTTCTTCTTTACAACTTTTTTTTTTTCTTCTTTACAATTATTATTTAAGGACAAGTTGAAGTTCTATTCTTTTTAAATCAAAGAAGTTTTAAAATATATATTCTACGAAATATGATTTTGGAGATAACTTAGAAACAAGATGCATGTATCAGTATCTTATGGATCAACTACTGTAATTTGACAAAAGCGTATGATAAAATAAAGTCCTTTGACAATTAAATAGTGCGAGTTTGCATGGATTGATGTATGAACGGACGATAGTTTTCTCAATATTCCATACTATTCTTGTATAGGCATATTTAATTTTCATCTTGGTTTTGTTTCATAGTCGGGTTTTGAAATCTGGGACAAATACATCTCTTATTCTTCAAATTATCTTGAATACGTAAGATTTTAAAAAGTGGATAGTATATACGTATTAATAGAGACAAATTTTATACAATTGTCAACAAAATTAACGTATACCAATACACAAACTGAGATTTTAGATTCATTATTATTAATGAGTATTCTTCTAACTTTCCATATAGCTACCGTGTAAATGATATATATTGTTAGTTGAAATAGTTGACATAAAGAAAAATCTTCATTTGTTGTTCGAGAGAGAAATGCCTTCATACGAGAACCAAATAAAGAAATGAATAGGATTCTTTTTTTTTTTACGAATTAAAAGAAAGAAAAAAAAAATTGTACATGCCTCCAGGTTTGACCCACATTTTGGCTATAAAAGGATTCTATAAGATAAGGACCTTACTCATCTTCCCCATTAAAACCTAATCACATAGTTTTCTTTTTCCTTGCCAAAAGATGAAGTTCTCTGCTTCGTTCACTTGGACAACCTTAATCACATTGGTATGTCTTATGCTTCATGTTTCTTTGTCCGATGCTCAACTTACCCCTACATTCTACGACACTTCATGTCCTAGAGTTACTACCATCGTAAGAGATACCATTGTCGAAGAGTTAAGGTCAGACCCTCGTATCGCCGCGAGCATCCTTCGTCTTCACTTCCACGACTGCTTTGTTAATGTAAGAAATTAACTTTACATATATCTATAGCGATACGAATCACTGTGGTTCATCTTATAAATATTAATATGTTAGTGTAAAAAGTAGATAAAAAACAAAAGTAGATAACAAGTATACTTAGTCATCGGCACACGCAATCTTAGTTGATACTCTTTTTGCTCTAAATACTAAATCTCAAGTATGTTAGATGCCATATGTTTGCTTTTCCTATTGAATAATTTAATACTTATCTCTCGTCGACACTCGATCGACAATGATGTTTCTGGTTATTATTTATTTCTTGCACAATAATGATGCCAAAACGTTTATGAAGTCGGATTCACAAAGATGAATTATGCATGCTACAGTAGGTAGCAAGAGCATGGTGCCGTACCATACACGTCAGAAATTTAACATCCATCAATCATTTTTTTTTGTTTTTGTTTTTTTTTGAGAGAGATATATAACAAATAGACTTTTCAAACATCATTCTACTGATAGATATACATATAATCAATCTTCATTGACTACTTAGCTTGCTTTAGAGGAACAAATAGCTTTAACGGTTGACAAAAGAAAAAAAAAAGTTTTCTGTTAAATTGTTACATTTGGTAAAAATTTAGTTATGGATGGACGTAATACATTGACTAACCATTTGTTATACATAATATTTTGGACTTATGAAAGGGTTGTGACGCATCGATCTTGTTGGATAACACAACAACATTCCGAACAGAGAAAGATGCGCTTGGAAACGCAAATTCGGCTAGGGGATTCCCAGTGATTGATAGAATGAAAGCCGCAATAGAGAGGGCTTGCCCGAGAACTGTTTCATGCGCAGATATGCTCACCATTGCAGCTCAACAATCTGTTACTTTGGTATGCTTATGCTCTACTGCTCCATCTTCATTTACAAACATTGTTTTCAACTTTATATTTCAAGTTGTACCTTTGCATATATCAAACATGACGGCCTCAAGTTCTTAAAGAAAACAATTGAGATATTTTTAGTCGTTTAAAAACGTCACAATCTTTATTTAGTATCGACTTTTGAATATATATTTTGAAAAGTATTGAAATTTATTTGAGAAATATTCGAAACGCGTGGTCCCGTTAAGAAAATTTGATAACACTATATCTCTCATTACTTGGATTTTACCTGGTTAGGCAAGACTTGAACCTTTTTCGTGAAAGAATAATTTTCATTTATTTCAAAGAAAAAGTAGAAAAGCTTACTCTTGAGTATATAATTATGATTTTGTGATACATGTTTGTCTTTTTCTCTTTGCATATTCGAGTGATAAAAATAATCTAAGAAGATAGTTAATTTGAATGTAATGGTTATTATACTATATTAGGCAGGAGGTCCTTCTTGGAGAGTTCCTTTGGGGAGAAGAGACAGCTTACAAGCATTTTTGCAACTCGCTAATGATAATCTTCCTAGTCCATTCGAATCACTTCAAGAAATTAAAGATAAGTTTAGCAATGTTGGCCTCACCCTTCCTTCTGATCTCGTTGCTCTCTCCGGTAATTAATACAAGTGTATTAAACATGTTTTTCATATATATAGTTGTAATCAGCTGAGTTTTGTTACTAATTGATCTTATGGTTTCTCTATTTGTTAGGTGGCCATACATTTGGTAAAAACCAGTGCCAGTTTATTACGAACAGACTATACAACTTTAACAATACTGGTTTACCCGATCCTACTCTCGACGCTACTTACCTCCAAACTCTTCGTGGACAATGTCCCCAAAATGGTAATCCAAGAGCCTTGGTGGATTTTGATCTCCGCACGCCTACGGTTTTCGACAACAAATACTACGTGAATCTGAAAGAAAGAAAAGGTCTTCTCCAAACCGATCAAGTGTTGTTCTCTAGCCCCGATGCCACAGACACGAGCCCCTTGGTGAGAGAATATGCTGATGGCACACAAAAGTTCTTTGATGCCTTCGTGGTGGCTATGAACAGGATGGGAAACATTACACCTCTTACAGGAACTCAAGGACAAATCAGGTTGAACTGTAGCGTGGTGAACTCCAACTCTCTACTCCATGATGTGGTGGAGATTCTTGACAACTTTGTTAGCTCTATGTGAGAATTGTGTACTAAATATAATATATGTCGCTACAAGAATACGTATCAATAAATAAAACTCTCAAAGCTGTTATTACTTGAGAATATTATATTTAAATTTCTCTTTTTCTAGATTTTTGTAAAACATACTCCATGTGTTCTTTATTAATTAATCCAATTTCTAAGAAAATGTTTCAAAGAAGATAGAGCTTTAAGGTTTTCTATGCAATATTTATCATGTTGAATTCAAGAGAAAATAATACTGTATAACTATAATATTATTGGTTTAGAGTTATAGAAATTTGTAATAAAAAAAAAGAAATGCATTTTACAAAATTTTAATATGTGTAAAATACATTATTTAAGAATAGAAGGATTAAATGTTCTCTCACGTGCATGTTTTAATCGAATTAAATACATATCAACCAAAAGAAAGAAAAAAACAAATATACACGTATCACTAAAATCTAGATTTATTTTTAGGATTAGCCATATACGGAAGCTTCACATCAACATTGTGACTAAATATGTAAACCTCTATTTTCTAACAAGCCACTGTCCTAATGCCTAATAGCGTTGAAACTTTCATAGAGATGGAAAGTGATAGCTAATCATATGATTGAGGCTGTAGCAAGAGGTCGAGTTGCTGCGGCCAAGAAATTTCTGCCAAGTCCTCGAGGAGAGAAAGAGATAAGAATAATTGAAGCAAAGATTTTTTTTTTTTTTTCATCATTATAGCAAAGATTAAAACCGTAAATAAATTTTCTAAAATATCTGGTTATTAAATTAGAAATTTAAACAACTTTTAAAATTCTTGAATTGCTACGTTGCGTTTTAGCTTCTCTTGTATTCTGATAAATCTGTATTTTTGTAGTCCAAACCATTTTGATTTTCTCGTCGTAAACCATATATATGACCTAGTAACACGACTTTTAGCCGTCTACTACCATTATTTTTGAAATAGAACCAAATTATTTTTATTTTTATTTTTATTACACCTAAACATCCAAACTATTAAAAAAGTCTTCAATATCAATTATAATATCTTAGATGCTTTTTTGTTTTTAATGGTGTTTTACTATGTAACGTGCACCATTTTACTAGTGGCGCCATCTACTATAGATGACCATGTTGATATTATTATAGTAGAGAAAATGTGAGAAAGTTTGAGGTTACAAAGTATGAATACCCCAAAAGATAAAGCCTCCAAGTTAGACACGTTTTGTCCTATAAAAGGACTCTTTAAGATATGGATCTTACTCATCTTTCTCCATTAAACTTAATCAAAGATGAAGTTCTCTGTTTCTTCTTCTTCTACTACTACTTTTTTCACTTGGACAATCTTAATAGCATTGGGATGTCTTACGCTTCGTGCGTCTATGTCCGATGCTCAACTTACTCCTACCTTTTATGACACTTCATGTCCTAACGTCACCAACATCGTAAGAGATACCATTGTCAACGAGTTAAGGTCAGACCCTCGTATCGCCGCGAGCATCCTTCGTCTTCACTTCCACGACTGCTTTGTTAACGTACGATACTATACTTTTTTAAGTTTTTTCACATATCTATCGCGTTACTAAACTACTGTATGTATCATACTACTGATTTTTTCATGTTTATTTATTCATATTATTTTAACGCATTTATTTATTTGATTTGATTATATAACAATTTTAATAATACTATATATAAGATTCAACTATATATTTATGGAAATTTTATCTTTATTCCGTAAAATATGGTTTTTATGAATTACAAAAGATTCAACTATATATTTATGGATCCACGTGATACAATGACTAACAATTTGTGAAATTTAAATTTTGGACTTTTTGAAAGGGTTGTGACGCATCGATCTTGTTAGACAACACAACATCCTTCCGAACAGAGAAAGATGCGGGTGGAAATGCAAATTCGGCTAGAGGATTTCCAGTGATCGATAGAATGAAAGCCGCAATAGAGAGGGCTTGCCCGAGAACTGTTTCATGCGCTGATACGCTAACCATCGCTGCTCAACAATCTGTCACTTTGGTATCTATATTTTGGCACTTATCATTAATTATTATATTCATTACTGCTTAAGAGTCACTTAATTAACAAATTAAACACGACTATTTAAGATTGAAAATATGATATACAGTATATATCTTGTTTGTTTGAGAAAGTCACGCACTCAATATTTAGTATCAACTTTCCAACCATTTGACAAATAATTCAAAATTATTAGGGAAAATATTCAAAACGCGTGGTCCCGTAATTGAATTTTGATGGCTTTTACTACTATTGTTGAATGAAAGAAAAGGAAAATAGATCACATATCACAATAGTGTAATTGGTAACCAAAAAGAATTACTTATATTTTTCATATTTTGTTAAAGAAAATATTGGAGATTAAAAACCTTCATATCAAGTAGTCTATGAAATAATATAACATGTTTTTTTTCTTTGAACACATTGAAATTTAATGATGATATCATCGTATAGGCAGGAGGTCCTTCATGGAGAGTTCCATTGGGGAGAAGAGACAGCTTACAAGCATTTTTGCAACTCGCTAATGCGAATCTTCCTGGTCCATCCTCCACACTTCTACGACTTAAAGATAGATTTAGAAACGTTGGTCTCGACCGTCCTTCTGATCTCGTTGCTCTATCCGGTAATTAACAAAAAGATATTAAACACCATTTCATGTACTTAGTTGTAATCAGCTAAGTTTGTTATTTATCGATCTTATGGCCTTTCTTTTGCTAGGTGCCCACACATTTGGTAAAAACCAATGCCGGTTTATTATAAACAGACTATACAACTTTAACAGTACTGGTTTACCCGACCCTACTCTCAACACTACTTACCTCCAAACCCTTCGTGGACTATGTCCCCAAAATGGTAATCTAAGTGCCTTGGTGGATTTTGACCTGCGCACGCCCACGGTTTTCGACAACAAATACTACGTAAATCTTGGTGAGAGAAAAGGTCTTATCCAGAGCGACCAAGAGCTGTTCTCTAGCCCAAATGCCACGGACACAATCCCTTTGGTGAGATCATATGCTAGTAGCACACAAACCTTCTTCAATGCGTTTGTGGAGGCCATGAATAGGATGGGAAATATCACACCTCTTACTGGAACTCAAGGACAAATCAGGTTGAATTGTAGGGTGGTGAATTCCAACTCTCTACTCCAAGATGTTGTGGAAATTGTTGACTTTGTTAGCTCCATGTGAGAATTGTTTACTAAATATGTATGTGGCTATAAGAATGCGTGTTAATGAATAAAACTCTCAAGATGTTACTTGAGGTTATGTAATTTAAATCTCTCTTTTTCTAGTTTTTTTCCTAAAACATAGTATATACTAAATGTTCCCACGTTCATGTTTTCATCGAATTCATTTATTTCAACCAAAAAAAAATAAAAAATGATACAGATGAATTTAGACATATGATTCGCAATATACTGAAGTCCGACATCAACGTTACGACAATATATATATACCTTGAAAATTAATAACACCGTTGAAAATTACATAAATACATAAAGATGGAAAAGTGACAGGTAATCACATGCATGAGACTATAGCCAGAGGTCAAGTTACTGCGGCTTATGCTGCTAAGGTTAAAAGATTAAAACTGTAAATAATTCTTCGAAAAATATCTGATGAGAAAATTAATGTGAGAAAGTTTAAGGTTACCCAAAAAAAAAAAAAAAAAGGCTTCCGAGTTTTGTCTATAAAAGGACTCTTTAAGATATGGAGCTTCCACATCTTTAATTTCTCCATTAAACCTAATCAAATAGTTTTCTTTGTCCTTTTAAAAGATGAAGTTCTCTGCTTCTTCTCCTTTGTTCGCTTGGAAAATCTTAATCACATTGTCATGTTTTATACTATATGCTTCTTTTTCCGATGCTCAGCTTACCCATACCTTCTACGACAATTCATGTCCTAATGTTACGAACATCGTACGAGATACCATTGTCAATGAGTTAAGGTCAGATCCTCGTATCGCTGCAAGCATCCTTCGTCTTCACTTCCACGACTGCTTTGTAAATGTAAGATATTACTTTTTCTCATATGTATCATATTACTGATGATGTTTCCATGTTTATTTACTCATATTATATCTTTTGATTCTTTTCTATGATCAACATTTGAATTTTATATAAAGCCATTTTAATGTGATTATATATAAACATTTCGATATCATAGTATTTTGGTTTATTCAAGATCATTTATCTTGATTGAGTAAAATATGGGTTTTATATATGAATTACAAAAAGAAAAAAATCAACGTACATCGTTAGTAGAACTGGTGGTAAAGATTCATTAACTATTGTACACTGACTAACAATATGGCAAATGCTATTTTGGACTTTTGAAAGGGTTGTGATGCATCGATCTTGCTAGACAACTCAACATCATTCCGAACAGAGAAAGAGGCGCTTCCAAACGCAAATTCTGCTAGGGGATTTCCAGTAATCGATAGAATGAAAGCCGCGATAGAGAGGGCTTGCCCGAGAACCGTTTCATGCGCTGATATGCTCACCATCGCGGCTCAACAATCTGTTTCTTTGGTATATACAATGCTCAACTTATCATTAATTCTTTTATTCATTACTGTTTACAATAATGATATAGTCACTTAACAAATTAAGTGAAATATATGAATGATATCATAGGCGGGAGGTCCTTCTTGGAAAGTTCCATTGGGGAGAAGAGACAGTTTACAAGCATTTTTTCAACTCGCTAATGATAATCTTCCAGCTCCAAACTTCACACTTCCACTACTTAAAGATAAATTTAGAAATGTTGGCCTTGACCGTCCTTCTGATCTCGTTGCTCTCTCCGGTAATTAATAGAAGGATATTACACACCATTTGATATGTAGTTTGTAATCAGCTGAGTTTTGTTACTAAATTGATCTTATGGTTTCTCTTTTTGTTAGGTGGCCATACATTTGGTAAAAACCAGTGCCAGTTTATTACGAACAGACTATACAACTTTAACAGTACCGGTCTACCCGATCCTACTCTCAACGCTACTTACCTCCAAACTCTTCGTGGATTGTGTCCTCCTAATGGTAACCAAAGTGCCTTGGTGGATTTTGATCTGCGTACACCTACGGTTTTCGACAACAAATACTACATGAATCTTGGTGAGCGAAAAGGTCTTCTCCAAACCGATCAAGAGTTGTTCTCTAGCCCCAATGCCACGGACACAATCCCTTTGGTGAGATCATATGCTAATAGCACAGAAACCTTCTTCAGTGCGTTTGTGGAGGCCATGAACAGGATGGGAAATATCACACTTCTAACTGGAACTCAAGGACAAATCAGGTTGAATTGTAGGGTGGTGAATCCCAACTCTCTACTCCATGATGTGGTTGAAATTATTGACTTTGTTAGCTCTATGTGAGAAATACATAGTTGATACTAAAATATATATGTACAATAAAACGCTGTCAAATGATATATGATGAGCATGATTATGAAGACGCACGAAGTTAGGAGCTTGGGTTAGGAAATTCACATGACCCGCAACATATATATGTACTTTTTTAGTTTTTACGCAGCACGATCAGAGGAACCAGAGGCAAAGAGACAAAAGTTTGACCATAGCTACAAATTTAATTCTCATGGGTTGTAACTTCAATCCTCAACTTGTGCAGAGTAACCCACGAACTTGAACCCAGTTTAAAAACACAAAACTACAGCGTTGAATAATCAATTGAAAAATTGCTTGAAGCCACAGCCTTGGGCTAGATCTCCAAGAACTTGTTCATGTTTGTTCCATAAACATACACGCATTGCTTTTTTTGGATTCTGGTTCATGGAACTGTAATCTCTGCGTAGCTTGATTACCACCGCATCAACACTCCTTCTGACTTGTTCATTTTGGTTTCTGTTGTTTACGGGTGTGTTGTTGGGAACAATAATTCTCTAATTTGTCCTTCTGCATTGTCTTCTGATGTTGCCTGCACAAGTTTTGATTGACATGAAATGTTATAACAACATCAATTACTCTTTTTTTTGGTCAACTAAAAAGTTTGCAATTACTCTATTAAGTACAGTTTCTTAGATATTATAGATCAGCAACCAGATTTTAGAATATCAAAGTAGAGAACCAATTTACCCTTGTCGAGAATGCGAACCGCAATGAGTCAATTTTTGCACCTGCGCAAAGTCGGAGGTCAAATCCCAAGGAATCTATCGCAATCAACTTCACTTCCTGCAAAATATATATTACACGATCAGATTTTCATACACAACCTTAACATACAGAAATTTCCTGTTGAAATTCTTATCGTAACTGGAGCTTATAGAGTTAAGTTGCAGCTATTTACCTCTGCTTGAATACCGTTATGTCTCCAACACAGAGATTTGAGGGCTTCAGTTAGTTTATCTCCAGTTTCTTCTAAACGGCTTATGATTCCAGCTGATGCATGCGCAATAGCATCAGGTTGTGCTTTTCTAACATCTTCCACCTCAACTTCAGTCTGTTCCCAAACGTTAAAAGACCACTAGTAAGTATAAGCGTGAAAAAAGAGAAGACTCTAGATAAGAAGTGAAACTTGAAAACGAGAATCATTAGACTTGCCAATTATCAAACAAAGCAAAAACAAGCGTAACACACTTTTCCAGATATGCGACAACTGTTAGATAGATATTTCGCTAGAACATGAAAAAATTTACATAGAATAGTTGAGAAGCTTTATTGCAAACCTGATCCCCTTGTGCTGTAATAAGCTGTATTCTTATCATCTCCAGCTTGTAAAATGCCACCACATTTCTTGCTTTTTCACCTTGCGATGAATCTACATCAGATTCTTCACCGCCTGCCTCACTAATGTCTGCAAGCTTCTCTTTTAAGTTTTCTGCATCCTTGTTTCCACTAGTGCTTGTAGAACTGATGTCAGCAAGTTTTTTTTGGATATCTGAATAATCTTCCACTAAGATATGGCTCAAAAGTCCCTGGATAGCAAGGCCAGCAGATGGCTGATCCATCCAATCAACAGGATCATTCGAAGCAACCTGAATTTGACAAAAACAAATGTGTTAAAAGTTAACCTCAGGAGTTTAAAATGATCTTCCATATCGTTTCTATATCGAACCACAACACATTTTGTTTTTTAGAAGTTGGGGTTAGAAGTTAACCTCAGTCATTCTCTTTGCAAAAAACATGGGATGACAACTTCTCATTGTTTCCAAATTTGCCCAGTCTCCAAGTGACTCGTCATCATCGGAATCATCATCATCATCCTCATCATCATCGTCATCTTCATCTTCATCCTCTAGAACAGCAACCCATTCCTGAAGTCAAGAATATGGTTCCTAGTGAAGCATGCTAAGACATGGCAAAAGTATTCCTCTCACAGAATTCCTTAGTGACTTAATATAAAAGATGAAATAAATTTTGTTAAACCTCCTCATCTTCGTCTTCCCCTGTATCCTCACTGTCATCTTCTCCTTCACTTTCATCATCATCAGTTTCAAAGTCACTATCAGATAGACCCATCAACTCCATTTCCTTGATCATCTCCATTGTATCAAAACCTACAATTACTTGCTGCAATGCATCCACAAATTCTTAAAAGGTTAGTACATATTAAGGTAAAGAAAAACCTACACAGAACAGTATAGTCAGCTATAACCAGTAGAAACATATCACCAGAAGGCTGTTTATTGATCCATGTCTGTGCGTTTGGATTTAAAATAATGGTGAATTAACAAAAAAAAAAAAAAAAAAAAAAAAATCATCAAACAAAGCTTGGATTCAAAACACTTGGAACATACCCCATTTCGCTATATATATAATGTAAGTAAGATATGCATACATACCACATAATTATTTTCAGAAGTAACAGACTGCATGACATCCTCATCCTCCTTTACTTGAAAGTATAAATCTGAAGAGCATTAGGGTAATTCAGTGTAAGTTTGACGGTGTTAGGTAGATTAAATCATGACAGGGAACTAAGGATGATTAATTTTTCTCTTACTTCCATTCTGATCTGTTATATATGGTATATCTGGCCAGAGAATATTCTCATGAACTCCATCACCAATTGAACCTGTAAGCATCAGGGTTCCTTTATTGTTCACCTGAACAAGACACACTACGGGAAATGTTGGATGCACAAAAACGGATCACGAAAAAAAAATAAAGACAGGAAAACTGAAAATGGAGGAAACATACTTTCATAAATATATATGCAATGCGGACTTAGGTAAGCTTATATACATATATGATGCAGTACATAGGCTTTGTCAAGATAAAAAGGCCTTTCTTTATATAAAAGGATTCTATAGAAAACTAAACAACCCATGATAGGAACATGTAAAACTACCTAACGCACTAACATGTAACATAAGACATTGATCCAAGAATGTTTTCACCAAAAAAAATAGCTAATGCTGATTGAAAGATGTAATATAACACCTCAATGATAGTTCTCGTAGTTTCTGCAGGTGAAAGCCGTGAATCTCCGGCATTCTGTGGCAAAGAGGCTCTTATTTCTTCTGAAGGATGATACCTTGACTTGCCAGTTTGCTTTTCTGGATCTGAAGCTGAATCTACGTACTCCGCTGTGGCTTGAGTTCGATTCTTCCTTGGGAGTTTTCTTGTCAAATAGTCACCTTTGTATTTAAGAAATCCACTCCTAGTAAAGTGCATATAAGTCAATTGATTTGTTAACCATAAATATGAAATGTGAGAATTTATATATATGAAGAAAGCCTAACTAATCGAATTTGAAACATCTGAGCAAAATTTCAAAAGAATCGATCTTTGATTGGTTCCAAAGGTTCACAGACGAAGTATCTAACTTACAAATAAGAACAATCCGCTTCTCACTCAATTTAACATTCAAAGTTGACAAGAACATACTGCATTACGACCAAGTATCTATAAAACAAAAGATAAGCTATTTAAAAAGAAACTAGAATATAACTTCTTGATGAAACCAAAACTCACAAAACAAGAAAGCATTTCATTCAAACTCAACGTTGAGGAAAACAAGCCTAACCCGTACCCATCAATATGGTTTAGACGTTGAGGCTGAAAAACACGGCGAGGCGCATAATGAAAGCAGCTTCCTCCTTCTTCCGAGGTCGGATTAGAACGATACTCTGCATAAGTAATAAAAAGCTTTCATTTCACTTTATTTCAAGAAAAAAACTGAAAAGAGGACATCGGATAACATAAGTTGAGCTAGTAATCAAATAGAAATATTGATTACGGAGTAACGCCGTCGACGAACAGAATCCGGTGGAGAGACGTACGGCCATAACAGACTCAATCATCGGTAACACTATTATCTCTAACCTTTCGCTCTCTATCTCTGAGTCCTGAGCTCAGAAGCTGAAAAAGAAGAAGGATTTTGCAGATTAGGCTATCTATTTGGTGAATTTTCATTACCGGTGATGACGTGTCATATTCTCATTCGTCCGAACCCGAGAAGATATTGTCTTAAAAAGTGTAACTTCCAGTATCATCAAAACGCTGCGTTTTATTTGTAATGTTTTATTTGAGATTTAGTTTTAAGTCACCAATAGTCACCACAAGAGCAAACACCAAACCGGAACACATGGAATCTGTTAGTGTCTCTGATGATGATCTCCCGAGAAGTTATCTGTGAGATAAGCTTCGCTGCAACATGACAATCTCCACAAATCCTAAGATTCTTCGTTATTCTTATTGTGTTATTACTGTCTTCTTCCACTGTGTTTATCAGAGCAAACACAATGGCTAATTTCTCGCTGTGAACAGCTAAATGCGTCTCTTTATCTTCTTCTTCTACATCGTGAAGTGCAGATTCTGAATCTGGAACATAACCTAACTCTTTCATTTTCTTTACAAGAACATCCAGCTCTCTGTAAATCTCACCGGACTGCGGGTGTGACCTGTCCCCTACTAAGAATGTATGAATTTCTCCATTGACCTCAACATTGCTTGATCCGGGATTTTTCTTTAATCCTTTGCTCTTCATTATATGTCTGATGTTTGTCACTTCTTCCCATCTTCCAGCCTTTGCATATATGTTAGAAAGCAATACATAGTAACCTGATTGCTCGGGTGCTAACTGGAACAGTTTATCAGCTGCTAGTAGACCGATTTCTGTATCAGAATGCACCCTGCACGCCCCTAATAGCGCTCCCCAGACTCTCTCATTCGGTTCCATTGACATTTCTTGTATGAATCTGTAAGCTTCTTTCACTTTTCCGGCTCGGCCAAGAAGATCCACCATACATGCCAAATGCTCTAACCTAGGAGTGATCTTGTAATGATCTGTCATGAGTTTGAAATAATTCCTACCTTCTTCTAGTAACCCTGCATGGCTACAAGCAGCAAGCGTTGTCACAAACGCAATTGAATCAGGTACAAGACCCGAATCTTGCATTTTCGAGAACAATGCCACTGCGTCACTGCCTCTTCCGCTGAATCCATAAGCTGAAATCATAGCAGTCCAAGACACAACATCACGTGACTTCATGTTCTCAAACACATCTCTCGCTCTGTCTAAACATCCGCATTTCGCATACATATCGATCAGTGCGTTCTCTAACAACAGATTCGGTATCAGCTTCTTTCTCTCAATGTATCCATGGATTTTCTTACCAAGAGATAGAGCAGATGTATCTCCACAGGCAGGTAATACACTTGTGATTGAAACTGCATCAGGTTCGAACCCATCAGCCTCCATTCGAGAATACAACTCCACGGCTTCAACAGGCATCGCGTTTTTCATATACACACCGATCATCACATTCCACGAAACCAAACTCTTTTTCCCCATTTTAAAAAACATATCTTTAACATACATAACGTTTTCAGTTGTTGTGTTGCTAACTGCTGGTAACAGACTAGCCATCGTGCCAGCATCGTGGCTTACCTTCACAGATTCCATTTCCCTACAAACTTCCAAAGCATCATCAAATCTCTGATTTTGCGCATACCCAACAACTAACGAGTTCCAAGAGACCACATCTCTTCTTGCCATCTCATCAAGTACAAGCCGTGCTTCAGCTAAAAATCCACACTTTCCATACATAGAAACTAAACCATTCCCAACAAACAAAGTCGAAGAGAGCCCAACTCTCGTAGCAGACCCATGAATCTTCTTACCAATGACAATATTACCAGAGCAAGAACACGCCTTTAGAACACATGGGAAGGTATAATGATCAGGTCTAACATTACATCCACACATCGTCCCAAAAACTTGAATACCTTCACGATAAAACCCGTTATTCACATAGCTTCTTATCATAACGTTAATGATAATCACATTTCTCTCAGGAATATCCTCGAACACCTTGCGTGCTGATGCCACATCTTTTAGAGAAGCATAAGCTCTCATAAGTTTAACACCCAAAGACGAATTGCAGCGTAGACCATCAAGAACTATTCTGGAGTGGACCGTTCTAAGTGTTCTAATATCTGGGTAAGAGTCAAGTACATGACCAAGCAGGAAGGCTGTCTCATGTGGTGATTCCTGTTCGAGTTCCAATTTGGGTCGGGACGAAGATAGTTTTCGTGATTGAAATTTTCTGAATTTTGGTAAATGGAGAAGACGGAGATCGACATTGATGCGTTTCATGAGCTTTGAAATCGAAACTCAGCAACGGTATATATATACATAGCGCGACTAGCGAGAGCAAATAGCAACGGTAGCAATGAGTTATAGAGGTCCAACCGTCAAAATCAAATATTGTTAAACCGGATCAGACCGGTCTCACATGGCCAATTGGGTTTTTAAATTTTGATCTAAGACCACAAGTGCTGGCATAAACCGAAAGATTTCACCTGAAATATCCACCAACTTGTTTTTCCTAAGTAATAGAGTCGAAAGATTGTGGCAGTAGAAGCTGCAAGATATCTCTGCAGTTTGATTACTCATTAAAGACACTCTTCTCACACTTTCCCAATTGATGTCCTTGGGTATATCGCATAACTGCGCACCAGGCTTCACACAACTTTCTGATTCTTTTTGGTTTCTGAAGTTACACACTATCCAAAGAGCCATCTCGCGTATCACATCATGCATTTTCACTTGTGAGTTCACATTCCATCAATAAAATGTGTGCGAAGTAACGAACCAATTATATCATGACCTTGGTTGTTTGCTCCACAATCATTGAGTGCAAGTGGCAAACCACAACATTTCTCAGCAACTTTTCTTGCAAGTGTGGGAATATCTTGATGGCTCTTTAATGGAGTTTCTCCAACTTTCTTCTGAAACAGTTCCCACGCTTCATCGGGTGATAAACAAACAACTTCCAACTCATCATCGACTTCCATGTCTTTGCAAACTTCTTTAGAACGAGTTGTGAGAACTATTCTAGATCTGGTTTCTTGAGTTAAAGGTGGAACTCCTATCTTGTTCAAATCTACCTCCCCCCATAGATCATCTAATAACAGCACAAATCTTCTTCTGTTAAGGATATCGTATATCCGAGATGCTTTTTCCTTTTCTGTTTCTTGTTTCCATTCCTTGTCAAGACGTAGTCTTCCCAAGATCTGTTTTTGAATGCCCTCAATTTGCAAATCTTTAGAAACCACAACTCATATCACAACATCAACTTCATTCATCACTTCAAGAAATTTGTTATTGATACGAGCTAAGAGTGTGGTTTTGCCTACTCCTCCCATACCATAAAGACCCAAAGTTCTACTTCCACCATTCATCATCAGGCTGTTCCATGCCTTTTCAACCACTGAATCTAAACCAACTGTGGTTTGGATATGCTTCTTTACTCCCTTTGGTGTAGGAGTTTTCTCTGCCATCAGATATATGGACCCATCAGATATCCCACTAAGTTGTATAATCCGATTAAACCGATCTATGTATTGGACCACAATAGACTTTGAAAACCAATTAATTAATCTGACGAAGAGAAAACCTCTTTTACTTTATGAATCTTGTAACGCAAAGAAAACTTGGTACCATCTTTTGTCACCAAATTAAGCATTTCTTCTTTCTTGCATACAGAAAAATCTTATAAAAGATAATGGCTTAAACATACAAGTAAAGACTTTAAAACAATCAACTATGATATTGACTAGGGTCAATGCTCAGATCATATTAGAGATTTAAACTATCAGTTAAAATCTGACGTATGGTACATGGTAAGGTGCAAAGATACTAATAAGTCTAGAGATACAGCAATGCAGGACGGCATACCGGGAACATGGCGAACTGGTTAAATCCTTGTTTGAAACTGCAACATCACCAGAAGACCGATACTGAACGAGGACTTAACCAGATGCATCCAGTTCAAGAACTTGCCAAGAAACTACAACTTCTCTTTGTAGTGTGACTAGTGAGAAGCAGAGCAATGGGGATTTTCAGAGTCAGGTTTCTTGTATATAAGCTTGGTGTGAAGAATTGTATCCAACATCGAAACAGCTTCAACGATATTCTTGCCTTTGTTCAACATCACACAGCTAGCCCTGCATATTTTTGAAATCCAAAATTAGACGAAAGAAAAAGTGTAAGTATTAACAGGATCATGTTTGGTGCAAAGTATATTAACCTTCTGGCATTTGCAGCATCTGTGATCTCAGCTCGAGTTGGAACACCGGATTTTACAAGTGATTCCAGAACTTGAGTTGCCATAATTACCGGTACACGAGCAGCTTTACAAATAGATAGAATCTCTTCCTGTATATTAGCCAATCTCTCCCATCCACATTCTACTGCAAGATCACCTCGAGCTATCATAACTCCCACAGGATTCGAACACTTCATTGCCTCTAATAGAATCAAGGACAAATTCTTGAATCCACTCTCCGTTTCAATCTTTAGAACAATACCAAGATCATCTAGTTTTCTTTTCTTGAGTTCTTGCCGAAGAACGGTAATATCATGAACATCGCGTATGAAAGAAATGCCAACCATGTCAGCATGTGAAGCTACATATTCAAGATCTTTGATATCTTTCGATGTGAGGCCTTTGAAACGGATATCGCTCTGAGGGATGTTAATGGACTTCTCTGATCCTAGTTTTGTACCTTTTGGACCAGCATGAGTGATGGAGACAATTACCTCTGAAGGGCTTGTTCCTTTGATTACTCCCCATATTTTTCCATCATCAAAACCAATGGTTTCACCAGGCTTGACTGAATCAAATAAATAACCTGAAGGACAAGTTAATCTATGAGCTCCTGGAACAGTTACAGAAGGTTTGTCAAGTGATCCTTCTCGGGTTATGACAAGTAAATCTCCCACTTTGAGCCTTACAAAAGATTCCTTGGGAGGAACATCTACTACTCGTCCAACCAAACGTCTACCTTTGTTTCCCTTGACGTATAACTCAGTTCCCGACTCAATGTAAGCGGTATCAAAACATTCAGCGACAAACCCGGTACTTGAAAAAACATTAAACTCTTTCGTGATTCTAAGTCTCCTCTTTTTCCCTCTAGCGTCACATAGTCTTACAGAATCACCAATTTGGAGACCAGCAAGAAAATCCTGGTCTTGGATTGATATAGTAGCATCAGGGGAAACATGAGCAGGAGGTTCTGTTCCTGTGAGAGAGAGCCATACCATAGCAGGAGAAACAACTTTTCCATAAGCATCTTTCTTTGGTGACACTTTCATCACACAAGGACCAGGTTTTAAGGTACCAGTTCTCAGTTTTGGTCCTGCCAAATCCATATGGACACGACATGGCATCTCTAGCATCTGAGAAGCTCTTCTAACTCTTTTGATGATCTCTCCCCAAATGCTCGGATCTCCATGTGCACAGTTTATACGTATAATAGAAGTGCCAGCTTTAATAATATCGGTTATAAATGTTTCACTCAAAGTTGCTTCTTCACCAACAGTTACCATGATATGAGTACTTCTTCCGTCATCAAGTTTACCCAGTAATGACTCTTTGTATGAAAATACCCTCTCTTTATCATTCTTCTTAGTACTTTTGCTCTTGGGATATGCATTAGGCAAAGACTCTGTCACAGCCTTTTGATCGTTGTACGGAGAGTTCATCAACAGATTAATAGAGGCGTTAAGGCCGGCAAGAACATCCAGATTGTTGTTGTCTAAACTTGACAAACCAAGAGAAGCTAGATGGATGTTTAGCTGCTCAATGTTCAAAGACCTCAGAGCCATATAATGAGTTAAGTTTGTTGCACATTTCAGATATTTCCTGCAACAGACAGAATTAGGAATCAGGCGATAGTAAAGCCGAAGAATAAGTAATGCAGATGGATATGCAAATGCTATATAGAAAATGGTTAAATTTATAAATCTCAACAGACCTGTCACTTAAATGAAGTTGAGAAGCATTCCACTTCTCTGCTGCTAATAGATGTGACCGAAGAGCATTCAGTTTTTCGATAACACTAGCCGTATCATGTTCCCCATTGCTTCCAGAGAGGTGTGCTTCTGACTCGAGATGAGAAAGCTCAACTTTAGACTCTGGGAAGTCAAAACTCCAGGTACATTCTATGGAGGCATTATCACCAAAGGTAGCTTCCAATCTGCTGCAACTTCCAGCTTCGTCAAAAGCTAAGCTTCTCGGAACACGAATTTTCATCTGATTAAGTGATAATGAACTAGTAGTATTCCTATGCTGGTTGTTCATGAGAGACCTGCTGGAGAAGCAAAGGATCTTGCCTCTCAACAAGTGGCATGAATCAAGTCCCACCATATCGACGAATTGGATCACCTGAGAAACAAAACCAAAAACTCTCTATGAGAAGAAATAATAACCTAACAAAACTTCACCATTTTCATCTCTATCTATATAACGAAGAAAAGCAAACACACTAGGACAAATAAGAAAACAGAGAGATATAAAACCTAAACAGTTTTTTTTCTATATCAATAAAATAGAAAATTATTAACAAAAAAAAAAAAGGAAACGATCCTAATACACGTATCTAGACAACAATAACAACCCAATAATGACCCCCAAGAATAATTAAAAGCTAGAGGAGATCGACAAAGACATATGCTCTCTCAATATCATCTCTTAGGACAGTTCAATTGTGAGCTTGACTAGTTGTCGTTACGACATGTACTCACATTGTTGTAATGTGTTTGTGCAGATATTTTTGAGTGAAGTAGCAGAACTCGTATACAACAAAGCCATATGTTCTCATGAGTGATGATCATCCAAAAAGCGTGTAAGAAGAGATTGATCAATTCCAAATAATTTTGGTTAAAAAAATCAAAAGCTACAAATACGTTTAATAGGTTGACACAGAATCAGAAACTAGAGGCAAGAAATGAAAACGAAAAAAGGAAAAAATAAACAAGTTCGTGACAACAAATCAAAATCTCCAGAAAACAAATCATGGATATGTGTTTATTCAAAATCTCATATCTAAGCAAAATAAGTTTCTACATTATTGGAATTGAGACAATTTCTCATAGGAAATATAACAAAACCCATCGAGAGGACAAGAAAGAACACAACACGAGTGCAACTTTGCCAGAGAAAATACCTTTGATATGGTAGAGGCGATTGTTCAGATAATGTATTCGCTCTCGTCTTGGGGGAGAGAAAGAAGATGAATAATGAAGAAGAAGAAGAAGAAGAAGAAGAAGACAACTCAGAATTTTCAACTCGAAAGAAGAAAAGTGACGAAATTTTCTCTAAGGAGGAAAAAAAAAAAAGTGTGGTTAAGGATAAAGAGGGAGTGTGGTGAGCGCGTGCCCCAGATTCATCTTCTGGAATCTAGTAACACGGACGAAGGATGCTGAAAGGTCCATTTCTAAACGACGCCGTTTTCGTTTAACCTATTCATTCAGACAAGAGTTTCAAAGCTATGTAATACCGGTCGACTCGGTTTAACCAAACCAATTCCGTTACCAGTGATTAAACTAGATCAGAACTGAACTAGACAGGTTTCATCAAATGAGAACGCCTCTCTCTCATTTGTGTATTAATCTCAAACTTACCAATAATCATTACAAGAACATTTCCCGTCTTTGAAATGATGGAAACGATTCAAATCTCTTAACACAATCTCTCTACCAGAGACCGTCGATATGTATTTCATTGCGTTATGACAATCTCCGCAGACCCGTAAGTTCTTGAACACTCTGACCGGTCTCGATTTTGCAGTGCTTATTAGCCCAAATGCAACTGCAATTTTCTCGCTGTGCTGAGACAGTAACCTCTCCTTCTTTGCATCATCATCATCTTCCTCTAGCTTGTGAAGAACAAGATCCGTATCAGGAACATATCCACAGCGTTTTATTTCTGTAATCAACCGATCCAATTCATCATATATTTGGTGAGCATTCGGGTGAGACGTATCACCTACGTAGAACTTATGAACCTTATCTCCCACTTCTATCCAACTGCAACCTCCTTCTTTAACCAAGTTTCTCTCTTTCATCTTCTTCCTCATCTCCGTAGATTCTTCCCATTTCCCTACATCAAACCATTCAAGAAAGTTTTGCTTTCACATAAGTTTAATCAATGAAATAGTTTTATGGTTTTTGTTTGAATTATATAGATACCTGCACTAGCGTATATGTTTGAGAGCTGTATATAAGCTGCAGGCTCATTTGGATCGAGTTCTAAGATCTTCCTCGCAGCCATCTTTCCAAGTTCTGTGTTACTGTGAACTTTACAAGCTCCAAGAAACGTACGCCATACTAAAACATCGGCTTGGAAGGGAATTGTGTTAATGAAGTCAAATGCGTCTGTGAGAAGCCCGGCTCGACATAGAAGATCAACCATACAAGTGTAGTGCTCCATCTTAGGTTTGATATTGTGGTCTTGATACATTGATTTGAAATGTCTCCATCCTTCAGAGACCAAACCAACGTGACTACATGCAGATAAGATTGCAACATAAGTGACCTCGTTTGGCTTCACGCCTGCTTCCGTCATTTGGTTGAACGTTTCGAGCACCCTTTGAGCGGATCCATGTTTCGCGAAACCAGTGATCATTGAAGTCCACGAGATAACATTACGATCTTCCATTAGTTTGAAGACTTGGGAAGCTGTGTCAATGCTTCCGCATTTGGAATACATAGATATCAACGCGTTGCAGACGGGTTGATTGCACGCCAGCCCCAGTTTAAGCACCTGGGAATGGATTTGCTCTCCTTTTCTTATTGAACCAACACTTGCAACTCCAGTCAACAAGCTAGCAAATGTGAAAGCGCTAACACCTAATTCTCTCTCAGTGATCTCATTTAAAAGCTCAAAAGCTTGCTCAAAATCCAAGTTCCTGCAGGTCCCGTCAAGAAAGGTGTTATATGAGACCAAATTCTTCTCAGATAGAGATTCAAAAGCTCTCCGAGCATCTTCCATCCTGTCAGATTTAACAAACATGCTAATAACAGAGTTTGCAACACTGCTATTAGAAGCAAGTCCTCTTTTGAAAGCATGACCAAGAACCTGTTTACCTACCCGTGGATCCAAAATATTTCCACACGCCTTGATAGCACTTGAGAAAGTGAAATGATTTGGCTCGACATGACCTTGGGTTATCATTTCACAAAAGAGATTAATAGCCTCTGCAGCGAGATTACAGTTTTGCATATAACCTGTAATCAATGCCGTCCATGACATAACACTATGATGCTGCATTCTATCAAATACCTTTCTGCAATCATCTACCGAACTATCCACAGAACATTTCGCATACATATCAACTAAACTACACTCGACATCATCGGCGAGTCCCGATCTAATAGCCCAAGAATGCAACTGTTTTCCGAGGGACAGATTTTCCAGCTCAGCACACGCCGAAAACACAGAGCTTAGTGTGAACTTATCTGATTCAAATCCGCTTAAAACCATGTCCAAGAAAAATCTAATTGCTTCTCTAGGAAACCCCATCTGCATACACCGAGTAATCATCAAAGTCCAAGTAACAACATTTAGTTCAGACATTTTATCAAACACCTTATACGCACTCTCAAGATTATTATCCCCTTTCACAAACATGTCAATCAAAGAACAACCAACACAAACATCGGATTCAAAGTGCCCAGTCTTCATCAAAAACCCCAAAATCACTCTCCCGACTCCAACATATTCCGAATTTGAACAAGCTCGTATCACCGCAGTGTAACAATAATCATTAGGCACCAAACCCAACTCAAGAAACTCAACAAAAAGCCTAATCGCATCTAACTCTCTACCGTTGTTACCAAAACAAGCCATCATCGCACTCCACGAAACAACATCTCGCTTACCAAATCTTCCCATAGTCTCAAACACATCCTCAGCTTTCGCCGAATCTCCAGATTTCGAATACAAGCTGATCAACGAATTGTATAGAACCGAGTCAGGCTCGATTTCAAACTCAACTAACCGAGCGTGAACGAGCTTCCCGAGACGAAAATCGCGTGCTCGGATACACGACTTGAGGAGTGATGAGAAAGTGACGGAATCGATGGGACGGATCCCATCACGAGCCATGAGATCAAGAGCTGAAACCGCTCCACGGAGATCTCCGGCATTGAGATGACGGAGGATCAAACGGTCGGCGATGTTAATCCGATTTGAAACGGACGGTTGAGATTTAACAGGAAGTTTGGCGGGAGATGGAAACGAAAATCTTATCATCGCCATTGTTCTCCCATCAAAATGATCCGTTACTGTGCGTATCCAATAAAAATGGTATATCAAAACTTTACATTATAACCCCTTAACGTTTATAGATATTACCAATATGACACAAACTATTTATTTTATTCAACTACATACAGATTTCATAAACCCTAATTTATAGATATCACAAAACCCAGACTTGGAGGTTTTTAGTTTCCTCTTTCTCTGTGCTATGGAGATTTCTGTAATCGCTTCGTCGTCGATCGACGGTGAAATTGGAAGTTGGGATCTCAAAACCGGGAACAAACAGCTTCAATTCAAGCCGTGTGCTTCTCCGGCGCATGGTCTCACCGCCGTTGGTGAGAAATTCCTCGCCGCCTCTCAGCTCCGTAAAGAATCTGCTGCTTCCGGGTCGATTTTTTATTGGTCTTGGAATAAGGTTTCTTCAGTCACGCTCGTTGTCAAACGTGAATCACTGTTTTGTTTTTTTGGTTCTCTTTGGATTGAAAGTTCAAAACTTTGTTTCATTGTAGCCTCAAGTGGAAGTGAAGAGCTTCCCAGTGGAATCAATAAAGGCGCTTACAGCCAACAATGAAGGAACTTACTTAGTTGGTGGTGGAACCTCTGGAGATATCTATCTTTGGGAGGTAAATGTTTCACAATTAATTCAACTTCGTGAGGTTTAAGCTTTTCTGAGTTCAATGGCTAAATGCCTAAATTTGTTCAATTGGTGGGTTTAGGTTGCGACTGGGAAGTTGCTTAAGAGGTGGCATGGTCATTATCGTTCAGTAACATGCTTGGTGTTCTCTGGAGATGATTCTTTGTTGATTTCAGGATCGCAAGATGGATCTGTTAGAGTTTGGTCGCTTATAAGGTTAAAGCTTTGTGTATTTTCATGCTTGGTTTTGATGTTTAATTTTTTGCAAGGCATTGCCTTTTATACTTATTCTTTGTTCTTTGTGGTTAATTAGGTTATTTGATGATTTCCAGAGGCAGCACGGGAATACTCTTTATGAACACAATTTTAATGAGCATACAATGTCTGTGACTGACATTGTCATGGACTATGGAGGCTGCAATGCTATGATCATTTCTGCTTCAGAAGATCGGACTTGCAAGGTACTTATTTGGATTACTAATTTTGTCCATTTGTTAACTGCAATGAAGTTTAGCTCTTGCGTAATTAATTAGCATAAGTAGGTAGACAGACCTATGTTGTTAATGAGATTCAATTTTATATGGCTGGAAAGTCTCGATCTTTTGGCGATTATAGAACCATGATATAGCTTTTTAATTTCATGACCTTGGTTGAATTTCTAAACCCATAGGTTTGGAGCTTGTCGAAAGGGAAATTGTTGAAAAATATCATATTTCCTTCAGCCATCAATTCACTCGCATTGGACCCTGGCGGGTTTGTGTTCTATGCTGGTGGCAGAGACAGCAAAATCTATGTCGGTGCCATTAATGCCACAAGTGAATACGGGACACAAGTTCTTGGTTCAGTATCCGAACAAAGGTACTTCCAGTTCCAGTTCGTGTTCCAGTTCCTCATATTACATTTCTAAATCCTAATATCTATATTTGAACAGTAGCTTGTAATAATTTTTGACTAGGATGGTTTTATGAGACCTTTTATATACCTGAACATTAGCTAGTAGTAATTCTCATGTTTTTAGATCTCTTAATATGTTGCATCTTATTTTTCCTTATAATGAATTTGCATAATGGACTTGAATTATAAATTACCAACAATTAGCTTATTTTTCATCTATTTGTCTATTTTGGCTGTTTGATGGTCCAATTAATCTCTATTGATCAATCATTGTTGTCTGAACAGCAAAGCTGTTACTTGCTTAGCATATTGCCCAGAGGGAAACCTTTTAATTTCTGGATCAGAAGATGGTGTGGTTTGTGTTTGGGATCCCAAATCACGACGCCCTGTTCGTACTTTCAACCACGGAAAAGGTATGTTATTAGCATTTTCTTCTGTCTGACTTTTACTAGTGCAAACTGAACTATTCAATTAATCCTTTCTTGCTTTTTCAAACTTTGATCTTACAGGTCCGGTGAACAATATTCAAATTGTTAGAAAAACGATTGTTGATAATTCCAACAAAACACAATTTTCCTGGAAAAGACGTGGGTCTTTGATGCCACCACCTTTGGAAAAATACGAAAGATCAGGAGAAGATACTATGGACGGTATCGTTACGGTTGATCCGCCGCCATTTTCTGATGTTTCTGCTTACTCTTCTTTCCTCAGTGCTGGCCTTATTGACGAGCAAGTTAGAGAACTTCAGGTTAGTGTTTCCTCTGTTTCTAGAAAATAAAACACAGTTCATTTGTTTTCTTGGTAAAATGACCCACAATTTTCTCGGTTTGCCTTGTATCAGCAACAAGGCTCTGCAGCAACAGAGATCGAAATGGAAAGACTGGAACTTGAATACAAAAGATCTTTGCAGATGAATGATCAATGGCAGAAGAATTATGAGAATTTGCTTCAGGTGGTGATGGAAGAAGAACAAATCGGTTGTTCCAATTGAAAGCTTTTACTGTTGTTTCTAACACATTTTTGGAATTATATTGAGAGATATATTGTCGAATAGAATATGAAATCGTTGTCACTCAAGATTATCATTTTATTAAGATCCCAAACTTAGCATCATAGCATTTGGTAAACTAGCCAAGCCATTTTGTAAAGTAGCCAAGCCACTCTATCACTGAGAAGCTTCAGATAATGCCACAAACGGAGAGACCCTCTTTTATAGACAGCGGCTTTAATGTTTCGGAGAGATTCCTCCCAGTCGTCACAGAGCCGATGAGGATCACTTATAACCGTTGGATCCACGATTAGTGTAATTGTCATCTTATTCATATAACTTTGACAATGTATCGTCAACGCCTATAAAAATTCAACAAAAACCAGTTAAATTCAACAACTTAAGGAGACAAATAGGACAAAAACAAAGAATAATATTAGTACTTTGGTAGTATTAACTCACATGGGGATGACCATAAGCACTTGATGCGAAGTAAGTGATGGGATGTCCATAGAAGCTAACTTCTTCAACGGGACCAACCATGTTCGAAAACGTCATCGTTGTGTTTGACACAAATCTGTTAATTATGGTAGCCGCCACCTGCAAAAGTAATTGCAACTTGGTTTTAGTTTTAATGTAAAATGACATAACATAGGATGAGTTTAGGTCTTATTTAAAATGACCTTAGTTCCAAGTGATTTGACAATGATCCTACAGAAGATGTATGTTAGCATTGCACCAAACGAGTTCTTCTTCCTATTGATAGTCTTATGGGCTCTTTCGAGATGTTCCAGCGGGTCATCGCGTAACGCAATAGAAAACGGAAAGACTACGTAGCCGAACCAATTCCCCCACCTACATTTAGACCCTTTCGCCATCATATCGGCTAGATCCTGTTTTCAAATCAAAATTTTTAACTCTCCACAGATGATCAAGTGCATTAACTTGTAATCAAATAAGTGATCAGTTTGTATGAAATTTTTTGCCTGGATTCCTGTTGTAGGTCTTAAGTTCACAAGCAAAGCTGACCGTAGCCTTATTCTTTTAGGCAGATGTTTTTGCTTCATTTTAGTATTCTCTTCTCCTATTATAGTTTTCTCATGAGTTTATTGAATTGTACACGTTAACAACGTTGCAATATCCATTCATATATATTATATATACAAGAAAATGTGAGAGCATTACCGTATCTTCTCTCCAAGTATCGTGAGAGACCAGCTTCGGTTACTCCAAGTACAACATCGTTGACTGTCTAATATCAGATTAGAATATATAACCGTTACTCGAGTTTTTGAGCATTCTAATTATATATTGTCCAATCTAATTAAGGAAATATATAAAACTTTACCATATCCATGGCGTTTTTAATTAGCTTTATATCGTCAAAGCTTACGGTACGATGAACCAAACGTAGCTGTGTACTCTTCTTTGACCGTAAGTCACCTTTGATGGGTGTATCCGTGTCCTTAACGAACAACGTCGTAACAAGAAACTCCAAAGCATCGCAAACCGTGTTTAAACCCAAGATAACCGCCGTCCAGAGAAGCTTAACCAGCCACAATAACCGGGAATCACTCCTTGAACCGGTTGGTAACAGGGCTGGCCCTGATGAAGACCGTTTCTGGTACGGTAGACTCGGGAGCTCGTCGGGGTTTGATGTTTTACGCATACAAGCCAGGACGAGAGACATGATCGACATGCCATCGCCTACAGAGTGATGGATCTTTAAAACGGCTACGTTTTCAGCGTCTGAGGTTTTCAAGTCGAGTAAGTGAAGCTCCCATAAAGGCCTCGAGGTATCCAAGGGGATCTTCATTAGGTCAGAAACGTAATCTTCAAGAAATGCGTCTGCGTTCTCTATGTTTTGCGGTTTTATCTCGGGTATGATGACGTGATCCTCGACGACCACGTTTGTCCGAACCCATCTTTGGTTTTGTCCATTATCACCTTCGCTCACCTTTCAAGTAATTATTGTATGTAAACTTTAATTTTATAATAGACATACATAGATTTCATATTGCATTAGAGTTTCAGTTAACTTATAAATCTCCGATTCAAAAATATGATATAATAATAACTCAAACATTTTTAATAAGACTGAAACAACATATATATGGTCCAAACTCTACAGTCTAAACCATGTGTTAATTTCATTTGAAAGAGTATAAACCAAATTCAACAAAGAAACATAGTGAGTTCATTATTCTTAAAACTTAATAAAAGATAAATTTGTAAGTCATTAAGTATATTTGTGTTTGTGTCGAGTTACCATTATACTTGAGAAACGAGGATGCCTGATAAAAGTTTGTTTAGACCCTCTGATAATCACATCAGGGTCGATCTTACTCTTTAAACCAATCACCGATACAATGTTGCAGTTAAATTCCGGTGCGTGAAACAGACGCGCCGCCGGGCTAAGTGGTTGATCATCTTCCTTCTCGTCCTCTAATGTGTTTCTTCCTGTCTTAATCTCCATCATTTTTAATTCGTTGGAGGTGTTTAATCTCTCTCTGTAGCTGCAGTACTCTTGTTTCCATGTCTCAAACTCTTTATAGCCTCCATGCTTGTGCGGTGCTACTTCTTAACGTGTTACGTGTATCAGTGTATAATACAGCAAATTTTGAATTTACTCTATTGGTTTTTTAGTATAATTTACTCTATATATTGCTTTTTAGTATAATTTTGAATGTACACTATAATATACGTACTTAAGTCACGTTAAAATTCAATTAGAATATATATATATACAATGGGTGTGTTATACAAAAATAGACCCAAGAAGATTTTTGCATATAATTGTGCTTATGAGACTTGTGTGGTAGTCTGTTAGACTTTAGTGATTAGAGTTAAAAACAAAAACGTATATGTTTAAGAGAAAATATTTATATATACAATTTTAATACTCCATATAAGTTTCGAAAACTAATCCTAATAGTTGCCAAATTATGATATTGCTGGTAGGTCATGATATATACATCTTTAATCTAATTTTCTCACACACTAATGCAGTTATTGCAAATATTAACTTTCAAGTCACGACATGTACATAAATTTCCATAAGTATTTGTATTTTGATCGAAAAAGTCAAATATGAAAACATGTGATATGTGTATTCGATCGAGACGAAACATGTGGCAAATGAGGGTACTTAACTTGGTAATTGTTTACATAAGAAACAACAGCTATCTTTTGGTTGTTCTCATTAATTTTCTTTCATGTACTTGTTTTCTTCTGATTGATAAGAATAAGATCTTCAAATGCAAGCATTGCAACGTTACGGCTTCTAGGTATATATTTTCCTGGAAAATGTCTTTGTTATATGTTTTATTTTTTTGTTAAGAATGTAAATATTTTATTTAGAATGACAGTTATGAACTACGGTGATATATAACATACAGTTTTGGTCTCATGAAAAAAAAAAGAAGGGATAAAAAACATGGAAGCAAAAACAATCAATACAAAAGCATATTGGTAGTTTCTTTTTCTCTAAATCAAAGAAAAAAATAGCTCAATCTACTGACTAAAACCTCTTTCTTGGACAGCGGCTTTAATACTTCTAAGAGATTCCTCCAAATCGTCACAAAGTCTATGAGGATCACTAATCACAGTTGGATCGACAGTTAAAGAAATCGTCATCTTGTTCATATAACTTTGGAAATGCATCGTCAACGCCTGATATTGACCAATCAAATCATCAAATCTTAGTGACCAAACCAAAAAAAAAAATATAAAATAAAGAAATCAGATAAATTAAACTCTAACATGAGGGTGACCATAAACACTTGGGGCCATGTAAGTAACGGTATGTCCATAGAAGCTAATTTCTTCAACAGGACCAACCAAATTTGAAAACGACATCGTTGTGTTTGACAATGCTCTGTTTATCACATAAGCTGCCCTCTGCATTCATTTAAATTCATAAGATTTTTGGCTTTATACTAACTATGGTTCATTTTTTTGAACTATATATAAAAGAGTAATGTAATAACAACACTGACCTGAACTCCAAATGTTTTAAGAAGTAATTTCCCAAGGGCGAATGTAAAAACAGCTTCTAACGAGTTTTTCTTCCTGTCAATGATCGACTTGGCTCTTCTAAGATGTTCCAACGGATCCTTGCATGATGCAATAGAGAACGGGAAGACAATGTAGCCGATCCAATTTCCCCATCTACACTTAGATCCTTTAGTCATCATATCAGCTAGCTCCTGTTTATAATCAAAAGCATAAAATATTAATGATGTTCTAATGATCATTATATATCTAAGCTTGTAGATAAATAAGATTAACTTGCCTGGATTCCAGTAGCCGGTCTTATGTTTACAAGCAGAGCTGCCCTTAGCCTTAATCTTTTAGGCATATTACTTTTAGATACTTCTTGGTCCCCTCCTTTCTTCTCCTCTCCTAATAATTTTTGACAATATATTTAAATATCATATGTTATATAGTACGTAAGGTTTAATGCTTCTTAACCACAACAAAAATCATAAATATTTACCGTATCTTCTCTTCAAATACTGTGAGAGACCAGCTTGAGATACTCCAAGTACGACATCATTGACAGTCTACAAACCGGTAAAGCAATGAAAGCAAGATTAATGGCACATGTATGGAGACATCGATTACTAACTTGAAATGTATGGAGAAAGTTTACCATCTTCATAGCGGTCTTGATTAGCTTTATGTCGTCAAGACTTACGGAGCGATGAACCAAACGCATCCGTTTGCTCTTCTTTAACCAGAAATCGCCTTTTATTGGTGTTTCACTGTCCTTAAGGAACAATGCCGTAGCAATAAACTCCAAAGCATCACAAACCGTGTTCGAAACCAACACAAACGCCGACCACAGAAACATAACTAGCCAAAACAAGCGGGAACAACATCTTGAACTCGTTTTTAACGGAGATGATCCAGAGGGCATCCCGTAGTTGTACGGCAGGCTCGGGAGCTCATTGGGGTCAGATGTTTTACGCGTACACGCGAGTACTAGAGACATCATAGACATACCATCTCCTACCGAGTGATGCATCCTTAAAATGGCGACATTTTCAGCGTCCGAGGTTTTCAAGTCGAGTAGATGAACTTCCCATAATGGCTTGGAGGTGTCTAACGGGATCGTAGTGAGGTCCGAGACGTAGCTCTCAAGAAAAGCGTCTGCGTCTGCGTTCTCTATGTTTTGTGTTTCGATTTTGGGAATGATGACGTGATCCTCGACCACAACGTTTGTCCTTACCCATTTTTGTTCCTGTCTATTGTTGCTCCAAGAATTCACCTTCAATAAGATTTATTCAAATAAAAATGTTAAAATCTAATATATTGTTTTCTTTGATGCATGTTTTATATCTATCTATAAAACTAAAACCAATATTAAAAATACGAGTATCCAAAAATATTAATGTTAAAATACATAAACTTCTTAAAGATAAATCAACAACTTCTTATACAATTATAAACATTTTAAGATAATTCGTGAAAATATACCTTTTGGTAGAATAAATTGTTACTTATCTATCTTACACACATTGTGTCAATAAAAGCGTATATAAAGAAGTGTAGCACTCACCAAGTTGCTGGAGAAACGAGGATGTCGAATCAAAGTATGCTTAAGTCCTTGGATAATCACATATGGCTCGATCTTTGTCTTCAAACCAATCACCGATATGATGTTGCAGTTAAACTCCGGTGCATGAAACAGACGTGCCGCGGGGCTAAGCGGTTGCTCCTCTTCCTCTTCTTCTTCTTCCTTTTCCACTGTTTGCCGTCGTAGTCGTCGAGTCCTGATCTCCATAGTATGGTTTTCGATAGTATTTGTTTTTTTCCTTCTCTAATTTTTTCGATAACGGCTAAATAATTTCTCTTCAAATTTGACTTTTTTTTGGTACCAAATATTTCGTGATTGGGTCAAACTTTCCATTATTTTATATAGATACATATTATATAGTATCCAAATATTTATAGTTACAATATGTATAGATTTCATCATTTTTGGGGGGGGGGGGGGGGGGGTGAACGTTTGGGAATCCGAGTCGGTTCGAAAATTTGATATTTAATTATTCAGTTTGGTCGGTTTGTCATATTTTGGTTTGATTCTGACTCAATTTTGGATTACATTCTTTTAATCAAAACTATAATAATAATTAACAAATGAAAATAAATGAAGAGAAAGAGAAATTCCCTAATTCGTGATCAATCTGTTTTCTTTCTAATTTCTTTTGTTTTAATTGTGCAAACCATTTGCAGCCAAAATGTTAGGTGAGTGCCTCTCCACCATTGTTGTCAGAAATAAAATTAGACAATTGTAGTTCCTTTGTTGGTTGTATATATTATCACAACAGGGTCTTGTTGTATGATATTATCACACACCCCCTTCCCCCATATAAATACAATTACTTTTGTACATAATCATTTTTTACAAGATTACAAATTGTACACCTCTTTTTTTAACATAATCATATGTGGTAAAAGTACAACTTTTTAATCTTTTTGTATAGTTTCTTAATCTTTTTCATTGAATAAGAGAAAAGAGATTTAACTCAATCTAATGAGGCGGAGCCTCTTTCTTGAACAGCATCTTTGATGATTTGTAAAGATTTCTCCCAATCATCAAGTAACCGATGAGGATCACTTATGGCCGTTGGATCTACAGTCAAAGAAATCGTCATCTGGTTCATGTAACTCTGGAAATGTATCGTCAACGCCTATCCAAATACCAATAATGAGATCGTCAAAAATCTTGAGTTCACTAATTCAAACAAAGAAAAATGTCATACTATACTTCTTTAAAACAATAAAAACTTACATGGGGATGGCCATATACACTTGGGGCCATATAAGTGATGGGATGTCCAAAGAAGCTAATTTCTTCAATAGGGCCAATTAAATTTGAAAACGACATGGTTGTGTTTGACAATGCTCTTGTTACTATTTTAGCTGCCACCTATAATATTCATTTCAATTTATTGTATAAGAATGGATAGTATAAGGACAAACTAAATTTAATGTGTGTTAGATTTTGGTTTGGTTCTCTGACATCAAATAGTTCAATACTAACCTCAACTCCAAACGATTTGACAATGAATTTACCGGCGATGAACGTTAGTGCAGCTTCGAACGAATTCTTCTTCCGATCGATGATCGTTTTGGCTCTTCGGAGATGCTCTAACGGATCATCTCGTAAACCGATAGAGAATGGAAATACTATGTAGCCGATCCAATTTCCCCATCTACAATTAGACTTCTTGGCCATCATATCGGCTAGATCCTGTTTTTAACCAGTTTTTTAAAAATTATACAAACAATATGATCGTAAGTCAAATGACAAGGTATATGAAATTAATTACCTGGATTCCATTGGTGGGTCTTAAGTTAACAAGTAGAGCTGATCTTAGCCTTATTATTTTAGGCATACCATTAGAATTACTTTTAGATTCTTGATCTTCTCCTACTATCTTCTTCTTTTCTCCTATTAATCACAAGATTATTGAACTTCACTTGTTAAAAAAATACATGAGAACACGTATATGTCAACGCACCAATACTTATATAATTACCATATCTTTTGTCCAAGTATTGCGAGAGGCCAGCCTGAGTTACTCCAAGTACTACATCGTTGACAGTCTACTAAACCAAAAATAATAATTATATATAAACCTAAATAAGCCGTTGATATAATAATTTGATGATAAACAAATAGTATTAGGTGAATCTAATAAACACATTAAAAAATCTTACCATCTTCATAGTATGCTTGATTAGCTTAATGTCCTCTAAGCTTACGGTACGATGGACTAAACACATCCGTTTACTCTTTCTAGACCGGAAATCGCCTTTGATCGGTGTTTCAGTGTCCTTAAGGAACATTGTCGTAGCAACAAACTCCAAAGCATCACAAACCGTATTCAAAACCAACATAATGGCCGACCATAGAGCCATAACTAACCACAAGAACCTGGAATCACCCCTTGAAGCGGACGCTAACCGGGAAGATCTAGACCGAGACGACCGGTTCTGGTTTGGTTGGCTCGGGAGCTCGTTGGGGTTTGATGTTTTACGCATACAGGCGAGGACAAGTGCCATGAGAGACATACCGTCTCCTAAAGAGTGATGAAACTTCAAAACGCCGACGTTTTCAGCGTCGGAAGTTTTTAAATCGAGTAGGTGAAGCTGCCATAATGGTTTGGAGAGGTCTAAAGGGACCGTCGTGAGGTTAGAAACGTAGCTCTCAAGAAACGCGTCTGCGTTTACGTTTCCGTTCTCTGACTTTTGCGTTTTGATGTCGGGTACTATGACGTGATCGCTAACGACTACGTTTGTCCGAACCCAACTTTGTGTTTGTCGTTTCTTGTTCCCATGGCTCACCTTCAAGTCGGTTTTTATTCAAAAATCAATGTTAAAAATTAATTGTAATAAGCTCAAAAATAATAAATACAGTTTCCGAGGGATAAGAGTGTCGATTAAAATAATATTTAGTTAAACAAAATGTACATATATCAAGAATAAGTACATAGAAGTACTGTAGGTATATAATTTAGATGGGATGATACAAATAAAAGTATAAGCTATTCAATCTACATGAGTATGTACAATCTTTTGATTATCATAAAAGCTAATATATTCATATATACTTTTTAAATGATAAATAATATTTATAAATTTTTATAAAATTCTAGGAAATATATAGGAATCCAAATATATATGCTTAAATATCATTTGGGTGTAATGTATTTGTACTAATATTTTGCTAGATTTTCTCAAAAAAAAAAAGGAAACATATTCTCCCAGTTTCGAAATGCATCCAATTTTTTAAATTTCCTTGACCATATTTCACTAATAAACAAACATATTCTCCCATTTTTGGAATGCATCTAAAAGTTTTATAAAAATTTCCTTGACCAAAACTATTTCACTAATAATTTTTGGATTTATTTCTTCATATTCTAATTCGAGTACAGTAGAAATATTCTGAATGTTTCTACATAATTCTGATTCCAATGTAAATGTAGACCAAAAGAAGAATACAAAAAAACCCAAAATTAGACAAACAAATGAATGCCCTAAAGATTTATTGGTCAAAAGAAACATTATTGGACGACCACGCAAAACCCAGAAAAGTCGAAACCATCAATATTTTCTATCTATTTTTGATACATAAAAGTTGATAGTATTTTTTTAAATAACTTATACATAATAATATTTAGCTTAACCATTAGATTGTATTACCATTTTAATATAACATATATACGATCGAGTAAATAGTTGATTAGAGAGGGACTCACCAGTTTACTGGAGAAACGAGGATGTCTGATCAAAGTTTGCTTTAACCCTTCCATAATCACATCTGGCTCGATCTTTTTCTTGAGTCCGATCACGGCGATGACGTAACAGTTAAACTCCGGTGCGTGAAATATACGCGCCGTCGGACTAAGAGGTTGCTCCTCTTCTTCCTCTTCTTTCCTCACGGTTGTTTCTGATGTATGATCTCGTCGTGTCTTAATCTCCATGGTTTCTTGCTTAATCGTCTCTTCTTCTTCTTCTTGTTTATTTTTTCTTTTTCTCTTTCTTCTTCCTCTTAACTTTTTTTTTTTAAAATATTGGTTCTCTTAATATAGAGAGCCTCCAATGGTAGTGCACCTCTTTTTTTTGTTTTTTATAGTATAACTTTCGGAATATATTAATTATTTAATTAGTAACATTCGGACCCACAATCTTATAAAATCAAGTTCCTTTTATAACATAAAATAATAGTTGACAATTTTTACTAATTAGATGTATTTGATACATGATTATAAATTATATCATACTATACATGTTATAATCCAATTACAATTCTGTTCCTTACTTACATTATGTTTCAAGAGTTACTTTTTTTTTTGTCACCTATTTAAGAGTTACTATCACCCAATATTTTAGTGGTTATTGTGACATTCAAATATTGTATACTTTATTGGGATTGTATTTTAAATATTATAAAATGTTTGTTCAATGAACCAAAAATATTTATTCGAAAAAATCAATTCCAGAAAGATTTATTGAAAACCAGATTTTTAGATTTTAATTTTTATGTTGAAAATTTATTTTTATTCTTAAATTAGAATATTGGTGTAGTACTCCTCACTCAAACAAAAAAATTATAACCAATGCAATAAATTGAAGGAAATACATTATTTTTAGGTTAGAGTGTTAGTTCCTGAGATTAGTAATTTAATTTTTTTTTTTTTTAGTAATTTAATTTTTACTACAATCTTTTATTTTAATATGTACTTATTCAATAACAAAGTAATTATTTTAATGAATATGATAGTTGATAGCACAATATAAAATGAAAATGTGGTGGAAAAGTGATAAATAATTGAAGTAAATGAAAATAAATGGACACTGAACATTTTTAAATATTGCTATGAAACTTCACAAACACACACACAAAGATGAAATGTGAAAATGTGTTCTTACGTGTGGTTTGATTTTCTTCCAAACCAGTACATCTTAACTTGATCTTCCATCAATGTGTAAACCTAAACAAAACAAAATACAATGAAGATTTCAACAAAAAATTGGAAATATATATTAGACACGAGATAATTGATGGTTTAAACTTATGTAGTACAAAGTAAGTTATTCAACTTAATACTTAAAACATTTCAGGGTAAGACCTTTAGGCTTTTAGATACGAAGAAGAAGAAAAAAAACGAATAACTTAAGATGACTACATCGACGACTACGAATTGTGGCTCTGACTGGCTGACGACGGTCATACATTCCTAATCCTAACTACTCAATTATGAATGAAAA